GCTCCACTGTCTCTTGCTGCTTCCTGATTCGAAAGAAACTCCAAATCACAGAATCACAGAATGGTCGGGGTTGGAAGGGACCTCTGTGGGTCATCTAGTCCAATCCCCCTGCTGAAGCAGGGTCACCTACAGCAGGCTGCACAGGACTTCGTCCAGGTGGGTCTTGAATATCTCCAGAGAAGGAGACTCCACAACCTCCCGGGGCAGCCTGTAATGCAGGGCAGGTGTCATGGCTTTATCTTAAAAAAATGTTAGAGTACCAAAATTTCAATCCAATTTATTTTGTCTGCTTAAGTGAGGAGAACATAGCCTAGAAGAAAGCCCACATACTCTATGAAACAAAAACCAAGCCACCAAGACCAGAATGCAATCAGTAACATTTTTTTTTTCCCATTCACCTTCCTGAGTAGCACTGAAAAGCAAGAATGAACATTTTTGCATGATTCCCACTCTTCTCTGAAATGCTTGCTACACTGTGACCATGATCAGGCTCTCCGTTTCACTTGGTGACACTAACCACTCACTCTCCAAAGTCAAGACTGTATGAAAGTGTGTCCTGGAAGAAGTTTAAATAAAGACTCTAAATCCAAAATAACATAATTTTCGAGCACTTGCAGCTTTCACTTGACCTAGGACACATCAAGGAACAGCACTTTTTAACAGGCATGGCCAGGAGGCATAGGAATAACTAGGGTGGCAGTGGCAACAGCGAAGTCAGTGAAAACAGGAAGTCCTTCCCATTGGAAGAACTAAGGCGGAGGAGGACGTGTCGGGGAGCTGGAAGAGTAGCTGCGGCACATTACCCTGGGGCACCTACTGCCTGTGTGTAGACTCCTGAAGAACAATCACACAACAAGCCAGAGAGTAACACAAAAACCACAGGAGGCTACAGAAGATAACGGTGCAGGACCACGGGAAAGAAACCAGACCCAGTGAAGCCGAAATGTGCCTCATTTAAAACTATATTTGATAAAGTTCCAGAATATTTACGACAGTGAGGGATCTTGCAGGGGTGCATCAGTTGCTGCAGATGGTTGCCTCGCCGCGGGATGTGGAGAACACTGATCCCAAAGCTAAGACAGCTACAAGCTGTGATGGTGGGATGCCCTTCAGGACGTATTCCCCAGGCAGTGTCTACTGACTGGGGATGGCTGACACCTGTATGAAGGAGACCTAAACCACTGCCATTTACACAGGAGGCTGTGGAGAAACCCATCCCCTGAGGTGAGACTATAACCATCAACTTTTCCTGGCCTTTTTTAGGCAAGCAGTGCTCGTAGGGGCACATGACAGAAGCAAAATCAATGTCAGAGACATTCCCCTGCATTGTGACTTTCCTGGTATCCTCCGGCTGATGCTAATCAATTGTCCAAAATGTATTTCAGGTGAAAAAGGGAAGGCTTTCGTCTCAAAGCAGTAGGTGAGCTTTTCATTCAGGTTTCCCTGGAGCTCTTCCACAAAGCTGAGAAGCATTTGTGATCAAGTTATGGAAGTATAGCTAACTCCAGGCTGAGGTTATTTGTCTTCAGATCTGCATCCTGTGGAGGCCAGAGACTCATTTTCTCTCAAAAGCTATTTCTGTTTCTAAGTCTATGAGTATAAACAAATAAAATTGAGACATAAAGTGAGACATGTGGAACTAGGAGAAAGTCGGCTCCCTGTCTCTTCAAAATGCCCTGTGGAATAGCTATCATTTCTTCACCAAATTCCATTTTGATTACTTTTAAGTGCTAGAAAACACTGGGGAGGATACAAATGCATGTCACATGTATCTACAAGACTATTTCCCTTAATCATAAGTGATACAGTATCTGTAGCAGTGCTCCTTCTTTTGTTTTTAATTTCTCACAGAAACAGGCTCTGTTCTCTTCCTTGCGTTATACCCTCGAAGTAAAAAGTAAGGCAATTTATTATCAGTTGCATATTTCGTAAAATCACATTTTCTCGTGTTTATAAATTAAATCTCTGCAAGGACTGTTCTGTGACTTGTTTGTATGCACACAGCAAATCTAATCTACACAGGTCCCATACCTGTCAATCTCGCACAACTCTGGCATATTGCCTTTTTATTAGCATTAACTCAGTCTCTGCTGAAACACTCCTCACGGCTCTCTCCTCCTGAAATGGAGCCTGCCACTTTCTCCATGATCACACCTTCTCACTAGGCTCCAAACCGCGGTGGAAGGGGTCCTTGGGGGCCAGCTTAGAGCTCTGCCCCAGTCTGAACATCTGGGAGATGTTGTGGACGAGACCCCACACCTTCCCTGGGCTACCAGCCCGAGAGGCCACCTTTGCCCTGAACCTTAACATGTAACCAGAACTGGCATCTGAAGATCCACGGCAATCTCCCTTGCACATTAAAACACACTCTCCCACTAGCGAAGGCCATGCTGCTGGCATTGTCTCCACTGCCCACATTTCCCTGTCCTTTCCTTGCTGCTCCAAGGACCTGCTCTGTACCAGTTCTCCCCGCTTTCACCAAAGATCCTGTCCTTGATGACAACTCACCTGTATTTTCACCTCATGGCAATAAATTACTTGGCTCCACTTGCCTTCCAGTTATCACCCTTCTTGTTCTGCTGCTACTGGCTTTTTCATAGATATAACGTACAGTAGAACAGTATTTTTCAGTAATTTAGATGTTGTATTTGTTTCTTTTGTATTTCTAAGTTTATACATTGCACATGAAGCCAGGCTTTTGCTTTCTGATTTCCTCACATAAGCAGTTCTCTTAAGTGGTATTTTGTCACATAAGCTCACCTGACACTCCCAATTACAAGATCCCGTATCTAGTGCAAGTCCATTTTTACCCCTTAAAAAATCAGCCCAGGCAAAGACTGAAACTGGGAAAAAAAAAATCCAGGAACATGCTTTAATGTATCTGCAAAAATACTTTTGCCAATTGCCAGAAAAAGGGAAATTAATGAGGTTTGTCCCTGGCTTTGCAGATTTTTAAACAATTTTCCTTAAACTTTTCATGTTCAAAAAATTCTAACGCATGTAGCATTTGGTGAGAAATTTGGCAGAGGCTATCAAAAGTGCCTCTGAAACAGACCAAAACTTGGCAAAGCACCTGCAAAGTATGAGTTGCACAGGTTTAGTAGAACTTGTTAAACTACTTTAACTGCACAGAAATCTTGTCTATATTTCATCTGCGCTGCTCCTGGGCATTCAGCTTAGAGCAGCGAAGGTGAAGCACCACACAACAGAGACCATATAGGTTCAAGTCCTTAAGGTACCAGGAGACAAGGAAGCACTATCTGTATAGTTTGCCTAAAGCAAAATGGAAAGTATTTCTCTTTCCCTGGAGTGAAGTTGCAGTACCCTGCTAAGACTTCTTTCTCTCAGGAATTGTGAGGTTGGTTTATTCTCCTATTTTGGCTCTTGTAGAAAGGACCCTGGAGGCCAGATCTGTAAAATTTACTTCTATTGCTCCAGCTCTCCTCTTTCTGAACACTTTCCACTCTCTGCTAGTGATTAAGATCTCATGTCCTCCTACTCGGAAGACAAATAATTGGCATTTCTCTCAATCCCCTCTCCACGTGGAATTTAAGGGTTGTAATAATTACACACAGCAAACTCCGTGAGAGCCAACAATCAAATTCAAGGCTGTCAATACCGCAGCAAAATATTTTAGTATCATCGCATGTACTGTCCTACCATTTCATGGCTGCTCTGGAGATTACCCTACTGCTGCTACCGTTTAGACTCACTAATTTTGCCACAACCAGAACTGGTAGTCAGCTGGGAGAGGCGGGTTACTTCACTGGAGTATGGCCATGCAAACAGGTGTTTTGGGGTTTGGTGTAACCAAGAAGTGGAAGCCTCCCAAGATGTCCTGCAGGGGAACCTTCTGTTAAATCAGCAGCTGATCCCTTTGGGAAACAGATCCTTGAGACACTTAGTTCAGTGGTAGATGTCCAAGCTGTTTTGAATGCAGAAGATGGTGAAGTTCAGACTCGGTGACAATGTGCAGGATGGGACCAAAATGGTTTCAGATAATGGGCCTGTAAGGGAAGACACTCACTGTGCAAAAAAAGATTTTTTCCTTAAATAAACTTTCAGATGTGACTAAAGCACAAGTTAGTTACTCAAAAAGTTGAAAATTTCACAACTGGGGGTGGGCTACCTGTTGTGGCCTGCCCCTTGCTCCCTCCCTCTTCCAGCATTATTCAAACTCATCAGTAGCCAGCAGCAGACCAATGAAAGTTTCAGTATCTCTAATTTTGGGTCAGCATCTGTTGTAGATCCTGTGTCAGATGACTGAAATGCCATCTGAGGTCAACTCCCATGAGACCTCTGCTGTCAGTGGAGCTCCCCTAGTCAGTCATTCAGAGCTCCCTGAAGTGTCATCACCTACGTCTGCGAGACACAATATGTAAAGTGACCGAGCCTCTGCCATTTAATGAACCTTACTTGTACCTGACGAAAGGCTAAAGCAAAGTGAAGCAAGTGTCTGCAGGTTTTGTTCATTCAGCTTGGGTAAATGTTCTCTCTCTCCCACCGCAGACAGGAGAGGTAAGGACCCTGCTGAGCAAACGCACAAAACCCTTGCCTTGTCATATGGCTGGGCTTCGGAAGAAGAAAGGCAAATAATTGCAGTTTGGTCTTTCATCCTCCTCAGTACTGCACTAGGACAAAAAAAAAAACAAAACAACAATCTACAAAGTACATGTCAAAGCTACCACGATTACAAAAAATACACATGACCATCAAATAAGGCTTCTGTGCCTGACCTGAGAAGTGGGAGCTCACCCAGCTGTCCCTGAGCGGGTGGGACAGCCCTACTTTTACACGTACATAGTGCACTACGCAACTATCTGCTGTCCATTAGCTTACTCTTAAAGCATTTATCTCCCCATGTGGCCCAGCACGGACTTGTCACTTATGCTCTAGAGCTTTGCCCAACTTCAGCTGAGTGGAAGATACCCGAGGTCCGCCATTGCCATCAGCTGTTGTGTTGGGAGCCGGCAGCATGGCCAGTGGAGGTCCGTCATCAGGCACCTGCTCCCTCCCGCACGCTGCCGGCTCGGCACAGCACGCTTCGGGCTACACAAAGAGGAGGTTGTCAGGTGTGAGTGGACGTGCAGAGCTGCCAGATTAGCTCATGTCTTAATCGCTTAGAAGTGACAAAGGGAGGGCACCCAGATCACCAGCCTCAACACAAACTTGGTGTTTCTGCCGCTGGAAACACCCATCATACACAAAGTCCATAACATCAGTAAGGAAAACTGTTATTTGCACCTCTTTTGCTTTCCCTTCCATTCTCATTCTTTGTACCAGCTTTATTAGGATGAGATAACTCACTTGAATTGGAAACAAACTGCAGATAGTGACAGTGATTTCCTTTCTCTAGGGCTGGTGAATTTATTGCAAAACACGCTTTGAAGCATTTGCAGTTATTACAGCACTTTCCGATACGCCAATACCTGCAGAAAGCAATGGTCTCACTAAACTGGTAATTCTGCCTCTAGGTTTTGACTTAATGTACCTGTTTAAAATAAACGGGAAGTGAGTGGTAAAGACATGGGAGTGAAGCAAAGCAGAAAGGAGAACGGGCAGACTTTCTCCAAAGTAAATTTTTTCTCTCAGAAAATCTAATCTAAGTTTTGAGAACCTTGAAGTCCTCTTCCGGTTCTTGCAGGTGGTGTTGACAGGATTGGCTCACGTTTCCCTTTCAAAATAGCTTGACTGGTTCTCTCAGTACCCAATGTCAAGTCAACAAGTCAACTCACAATGAAATTACTGCACACTGGTTTTTCCAGGCGGTGGGTGTACGGAGTACAGATAACAAAGGAGTTGCTCTTGAAGTCATGCATTCTTTTTGAAACCCCCTACCCTTCACAAGCGGGAGCACAGTAACACTTCTACACAAGCAAGGCTGAAAATACCCTCTCTGACCTACAAGGGCAGGAGGCCCTGGGAGAACCTGATTACTGTTGCCTATGGGACCTCATGGCAGCTGGGAGCCCAATTGCTGCTGTTATGATAAATAGCTTTCCATGATAATAGCAGCACAGGTGAAATACCAATTAATCTGAAATGCAGCCAGGCTAGATATGCTCTGTCCTTCCTGGATTCGATAATAAAGGTGAGAACTGGAAAATGTATCAATGCTTCAAGCTTTTCCTCTGTACCTCTTGGTAACACGTAAGTTACGGAGGCAGACAAAAAAACATTCTTTCTGAATATACTGGGACATACAAACCCTAGAACCAGGGGTTCAATGGGGTAACCTCTACTGCCTGGCAATAATTAATCCTGTTACATCTTCACCAAATCCTTGGCTCATGCTTCTACTCAGAATTCCTTAAGCGGTACCTAGGCAGCCTTATCCTCAGGAAAGAAGAGACTTGGAGGCACCCGTGGAGTTGTAGCAAGCCTTCTAATTTTTATTTCTATGTTTCTGGCAGGGGTGAGTCTTAACCAGAAGTGCAGTCACAAGTGACTTTGTGAGTGTTCTTGATTATGACAATATGTGGCATAACTTGATGCATAATCTAATTTCAGAGATGTCTACCTCTGGGTTCACAAAATCCAAATTCAAAAAAACACATAGTTTTAAATCTCTCCCAGCTGAAAAGGTGATCAGACACACAGAGGGTTGCTCCACTAACTGAGGAATTGTAAATGGTGCCACAGTAATTCTTAAATGGATTCTGCTGTCTAACAGCATCTCTACAGACACCTTCAGCAACGCAGTACCCGCCATCGCGAGACACTCGGTATATAAGCTCAATGCTCCCTTCGCCTTGTGCCTACACCAAACTTAACTCCTAGCATAAAACTGTCTTTACTAACCCACTCCCTCAACCTCCTCATCTTGAATTGCATAATTAAAACCTATTAGCCCATTTTAATTTGTTTTATACAAGCACAAGGCTTGTTAAGTTCAGTAAAAATACTGAGGGATTCCCAGAAGCTTACGTGAAACTGATGCTGAAACATCGTAGTGCAACAGGTAATTTTGCCTAGTAGGTTCTCTGAGTCACTGGTTTAAATAATGGATTTTCTTACTCCTGGATTTCAAAAGTGGTAAGAAATGCGATGAAGATAGACTATCTACCACAGTTTCACAGTAGTACTCGACATTGTGCAGAGGTTTCACTGGGAGAACAGCCTCCCGTCAGTCCCCCCACCTCCAGACCAGTCTTGTTCTGCTTTCTGAGTTGTTTAACACTCAATTTCCACAAAGTCAGAGGAGATGCAATCTCTTTTCTATCTTCTGTGGATTTTTTTTGTCCTCTTGCTGATGTGCAGGGAAGTATGCACGATGTAAAACATTAATTCAGCCCAGCTAAAACTTATCTCTGAGTTGCTTTAATATGAAATACAATATTGGCTTCGGATGGGCATCCTGCCAAGATTCTTACTAAGGGGGAGAGAGTCGAGTTGAGTGTCACACTATTGCTGTTGTGGGGATTGAAAAATTGAGCAGGCTTGCTTTGATAGTGCAGTATGGTTTATAAGCTAGTCTTTCTCTGTGAATTCTTCACTACACTTCTCTGTCTACAAGAACAATAGATTACAATTTATCCTTTGCTGAAATCTTCAATGCCAGAAAAATACAGTACAAGGTGCAAGGCTGAAAAAAACAGAAAAAAAGACTCTCATTTGCAAAGCCCTGGATGCACAGGTAATAAAAGGACCAACATGACCATGGACAAGTTGATGGTCTCTATAACTAGCTGTATTTTGCCTTAACAACACTTGAAAACTTGCAGGGGGGGACACATACCCAAATATGGTATTTTTCTATGATAATCTACCCAAACTGCCTGCATTCTGTCTGAGTGTACTGACAACTCTGGAAAGGCTTAGCAATAAAGCAGGAAACAAAGGACGTGTTTCAGCTCAGCTTTGGTTTCTGAAACTGTGGGTGTAAATAACTTATGTTGTATTTGCAGATCCTCAGAAAAGTGTAGCACAAGAAAATCTAATGGCTTCATCCCTGGGGCTTAACAACAGGGTTTAAAACCCTTCTTGTGCAAATATTCTATCCTCATGCATCTGCTTATTTAGAAGCACTGTTCTTCTATCGAAAATAATATCCACAGTAGATACTTCCTTTCTAAAGCATGATGAGATGGACCGATAGAAAGCAGTGGATGCTCTGCTCATCACCACGCTTCCACAGACTCCATCCTCTACAGTGGTGAAACTCCAGCCCTTGGAGGCTGCTGGGCTTTTTTTGCTCAGGCTTACAGAGCAGTCGGGCAGAAGCGTTAAGTGCTCCCAAAACAGCTTCTGAAATGTGATGATGCTAAGGCCACCAGCTTGGACTGCAATGGGCGTACCACCTTGGAGTAAACACAATGCTGAAGCTCTTGTAGGCGTGGTGCGTAATACCAGAGTACAAACACTGCAGACGCATGCACGAAGCCAACAGCACACAGAGATCCTGGCAGAACTCTGTTTTTTAACTCGCATGGTAGAAAAACTGAAATGAGGATATCCACAGCCGCTGTGGAACACTTGTGGGAAGCGCGCGCCAGGAAGGCACAAAGACTACTGAGTCTTCAGGTGCAGGTCAGGAACAAATTATGCTGGTCTTGACAAATAAATTCTTTTGGACATCAGGGAAATGAGGTCCTGGAACACACCGTGTAGTGTGGTAGTGGGAGCAAACATCTGAAATACTGTGAAGCAGTCAATGCTGCTTTATGCCTTACACCAAAAGCTGGAAGGTATGCTTGCAAACAAAATGAAAATTTCTTTGAGATAACGCCACGTGATGGTTTTAATTGCTTCTCCCTCTGGTCGTGTCCTGCTGATAATCTAATGTTTGTTCTGAGCAGGCTAGAATAAGAAACTTCTTCATACTAGACGCAGGTCTCAAAGGAAAACCGGAGCTAGACTGGAGCTAAAACCAGGTTATATTCTCCTGGAATGCAAAAAGTGCTCTAGCTTAGGAACTGCAGTCTAAGAGCTGCAGGAGTATTATGAGGTGGTCCTCCAAAGCACTGTCATTTGGAAGGGGTGATCCTAAAGAGACTGATGTTCAAAACCAGCTTACTACAACTGTAAAAGCATAGTTCTCTAATCAGGTATTTAAAGACTTTGGCAATGCTGCACTGCACATATCTTTCCTAAACTCTCCATTTGAAACTCTTTGTCCCAGAGTCAAAAACATGACTGTGATAAAAGCAAAGTGAAAGCAGGTGTCATGACACCTCTCTTGAATAGTCTAACCTGAAGGTTAGATCATCCAAAAAGAGCAGTACCCTGCAGTCACCCCAAATTTACTGCAGGCAGCCAATTTCCCAAAATTGGTTACTCTATCATGACAAGAGCGTAGGGGAAGACTCCTAACCCCCAGAGAGCTCTGGAGCCCTGGCCCCAGGAAGATATACCTCTACGCCTGCTGCTGGTAGGTAACACACAAATCCCAATGGGTTTGCCCCTTGCAGCTTGATCTAACGGCAATAGACTCAGCTTTCTTTAGGTCATCGTGCAGTTTGCCACAGAGCAGTAGCTGGTGTCACAGAAAACAGCTTCTCATCACTGCCCACTCTCAGATGCTTTAGACCTTCTTCATGCTTTCCTCCTCTCACCATCTGTCCTCAGCTGCATCCCCAGTAGCCCTCGCTGGGGTGTGGGGCAGGTACGTGCACGTTCCCCCACCTGCAGCCGAGCTGGACCCGGGGGCCCCCCTGCCGCTCTTGAGTCTCGGGTCTCATCACAGATAGCTGAACTAGCTCCAAAAGCACTGCAGATTACCTCCTGTCCAGCCATGGGGTAAAACCAAACTGCTTCAAACTTAACAAAAGGGCTGTATTTTCATAAACTTAGAAGTAGAGGAAATACATATATACACACATAAAAAAATATCTATTTGTGCGTATTTCCTTTTCCATGAGTTAACTCTCTTACTGCTTCTGTGTTCTCTTTTTGGAGGACCTGACTTTATGTTTCAATCTCATTTTCGTGTTTGAGATGATTGGGGAAAATCCTTTGTTGAGGCTGAAGTGGAGCACTGTTGCTGTCACTGCAAATTTAACCTACCAGTTTGATCGATCTGTCAACTCCAGGCAAGAGTGCCAAAATCTCATCTTGTATTAGGAAATGAGCTGCAATAATTCTGTAACTCAATTAACAATCTCTTAAGCAAATACAATTAAAATCTGGGAGAAGAATTTAATGTCTTTTTTCAGCTATATGACTTCTTTCACTCTGAACATAAGACAGGCTGACTTCATTTTATATTCAAATACTATAAATTCTTTTTTTGCAGCCAGTAACAAAGCTGCTGCTGTTGATTGAAAGGCTTTAAGAAAAATTAGGTATTTCTTTTTATTACAGAGCTTTTGTGATGTCATTCCCCCAGGAGACTATCTTGATTCCTTTTCATAAAGATGCCTTTGACGAAGCAGATGCTTTTCACAATGATATCTAGTGGATTAAGCCTTTTCTCCCTGAAACTGGGGGGGATTTATAACCAAAGAGCCTCGAATTATAGGCATTGTAAAATTAAAAGGCAATTCTACTCCAAAGCTCTGTTGCATGCTTATCTTGAAACCCGAATAGCATAGGACAAAGAAGAATAGTTTGAACCTCTTTCAGTCATGGTGTTTAATTGACTCCCAGTTTGGGGATCAACTCTTGAGCCCCACTTTGAGCAGGCACAACTGTGTTCCCCCTCCTCTCTCAGACTGTTGGAGAAAGATCTACAGCACTAATGGACGTACTGTTGACGATGGTAAACCCAAAGTTTTCTGCTAAACCCCAGAAGGCCGTGTTGAGATGAACCGGCATGCTCTTCATGCTCGTGTAATGAGACTCGTAATACAAACACGCAGCCGGGACCACATCCCAGCCCCGGCCCCGTGAGGGGCATTTCGGTGACAGAGGACCCCTCCTAACAGACCTGGCGGAGCGACAGCCTTCAGTTCAAACTAGCAGCGAAGCCAAGGGTACAGGAAGGTACACCCGAGCCTCCTGGCTAACTGCAGCCAGCGTTCACTGCTTGGGGTTGGGAGGTGACAGGGCGGGCGGTCGCCCAACCAGGACCGCCCTTGCTGCCGGCCCTCGCAGCCAGCACAGGGCAGAAAGCGTTCCAGAGCAGTCAGCTGAGCTGCATTAAATACCAAGCCATGTTGTCAGAAGCATCTCTGGGAAAGGAACAAGGGCTATAAACTAAAAAAGAAGGGAAAAAAAATTAAAGGTCTTTGAAAAAAGCCATTGTTCTTCATTAGAATTTTATAACAGCCACAAGGACTTCTCGAGATAGGGCTCCAACCGGTAGTATGGTAATAACTCAAAACATAAGCTTCTTTTTTCAAGCTCATGTGTCATGAATGGGAAGTAAATGTACTTAAAATGCTCTTTTATGCAACTAGTAGGACTTGATTCAGTAGCCTTTGAACTCAGTGCAACTAAAAAAACATGTTTTCCTGGAGTACTTTCTCGAGTGCTTTTGCTTCCCCAGGTGTCTCACCAGAAGATATGGAAGGATGTATCAAGTGTTGAGACCTCCCTCTCTCATCTTGTCCAGCCTCAGAAGCTTAAGCAGATGAAATTATACCAGCAATGAAAAGAAGGAAGAGAACAGTTCTAAATGAAGTAGTGATGCTAAGCTTGGCTTTGTTGATTTAATACTGAATTTAATATTCCAAAGGTGCTACCAACTCTCAACCCTGCCATCTACGATCGTAACAAAACTCATGTCTTGTGTTGTATGACATGGATGTGTTTCTCTTGCAGCTGTTAGGC